GACCTGTTGTCCTTCCTTGCACCAGTTTTGGAAGGTACTAACTATTGCATACTGGGAACACCCTACAAGACTTGCCATTTTGGAGATGCTCTTACCCAGTCATCTAGCCATCAATATTTGGCCCTTGTCAAAGTCACTTAGATCTTTTCGCTTGCCCATTTTTTCTGCTTCCAACACATGAAATTCAAGAACTAACTGTTCACTTGCTGCCTAATATATCCTCTTGACATGTGCCATTGTAGCGATAAAATCAACATTATTCACTTCACCTGTCAGTGCTTTTAAAGTTATGGCTGATCAGTGTAGAAGTCGAATTGACAAAACTTTACAATGAGTTACAAAGTATCAATTTAGAGCGTTATCTGCAAAACTGCAGAAAATCTAAATTCAGAAAAGCCCTTTTCTTATTTTTTATATTTCATCTGTGAAGTAGATAACTCCCTAATTTACTATCCTTACGTGGGTTTGCCATAGGGATACCAATTACCAAATGAAGGAGCTATCGGCTAAACAGTGTCTTAATTTGGTATCCTTAAATATAGCAATTCCACTTTAGGGAGTTATCTGCTAAACTGATGAAAGAGCATAATTAAGAAAAGCCTTTTTTGTTGTTGTTGTTGTTAATTTTGCTCTTTCGGTTCTTTAGTAGATAGCTCCCTAATATGGTATTTCGTCCTTAATTATTGCAATTCCATGTAAGGATAGCAATTTAGTGAGTTATCTGATAAACAGCTGAAAGATAGGAAATGGTTATTTTCAATTTGTCTCAAATGCTCTAATTTTAGTTTTATTTCCATTTCTGTCAAATCTAAAATTTGAAAAGCTTCAGAATTGCCGAAGTCAGATGAAATTTGATTTGAAACAAATAAATTGCACATGTCTATGTATTACTGCACTGTAGAAAACTGCAGTGTGGTAATGACCTGGTGTATTGTCCATTGGACAATAATGCAAAGCATTAAACAAAAAGCATGACATTTTAAATAATAGGTACAACTATAATCAGCTATTAAAATGATGCACAAAAAATCTTGTGATTGCAAAATGTATTTACATTTTAACCAAATTGACACTATGAAGTATACCATGATTTTTGCACCCTATATAAGGAATAGTTAATTTTATAAATAAGTAATGTGCTGTTGTCCTCATTTTAAAGTGTACATGTCAATGTACACACAAATGTAATAGTAATTAAATTTAATTTATGCATTCTGCTTGCTGAATTCCTAGCTAATGAACAGACTGGTAGAAAAACATCAATCAATTCTTCTGGATAGAGGCAATATAGCCCTATCTGCAAAGAATTGCCTGACCGGAAGAGCAGGAGACCCACGTAGCAAAAAAAAAAAAGAGCATTAGAACCGCAGTGCTTGTCCTGTGGATGCTATGGTTACTCAATTAGAGTGAATATGGGATTGGAGTAACTGATGCCACTCCATTCAGACACTGTCACAATGGCAAAAATGCCATGTGGTAAAGCACTTTGAATGCTTCTGGGCAAAACTTGAGGCCCACATCATGGCAGCATCACCTCAGAGCCGGAAGAAAGAACCATGTGCCGGTAGAGCAAGGGGGAGAGGACCTCCTCCGGGCAAAGCATCTGAGCAATCTCACGTGTCTCCCAGCAATGGCCTGCCTAGGCTGGAGGCCGTTAGGGACGTAGTCCCTGTGCATTGACCACACAGACGGAAGATCCATAGCCGCAGGTGGCGACTGACCACCAGGAGCTTTCACAATTCCCCTATAGGGATGGACTTGGACTCCGACGCGAGCATCCAAGTCCATGGTTCCTGAATGCTGGCCTTCGCGGCAACCTTCCAGCACACCCGATCTTGGGCATCGGCTAATGTGGGGCTTACTACCAGAGTCATATTGCCTGTCTCAAATAGAAGTCTACCTAACTCCAGTTGCCACCAAATGACATTTCTAAGCCCCATCTCCCCAATATAAGCAGTAGTTTTATTCCCTGTGTTACATACAGTTAGTCTCTCATAATGCAGAACCATGCCAGTAATCCCGACCTCAGTGGCTCTTTACTGCTGAAACTCTAACAAGACGAGCAAATGTTTTATGTTTATTTTTCATGTGTTTTATGCATTCATTATTGGTGAAGGTATTGTTTCCCTGTTACACTATTTTTACGTATTATAGCATGTTCCTCATTTTACATTCTCACTACCTACCCTAGCACGTTTCTATTCTGTCATGCTTAGAATGGATGGAAAGTACTCTGGTCACTAGTTAGACATGCTTGACTTGCATTGTCCACATTTGTACTCTCTTTTACTTTAAAAATTGTGCAAATGTTATATACAGAATGCCATACCAATGTCATAATATGTCAATGCAGCTGTTGTCGTGGCACTGCACACTTCTATGAACTCACTTGCACCTCCAAAATAAAGATTGACAAAAGGAAAAAAATGCCATGTGGTGTGTCAAGTAGGAGGTTTGCCCTGCTTGGTGAAGTGTGCACAAAAAGAGCAAACTTGGGAAGCAAAATGTTTAGGGTTTTGAAAATTATGATAACATATGAAAACCAGCAGACGTAAGCTATACTCTCCACCACAGCTAATTTTTCAACAGAGTTTACTGGGGTGAGGGACAGAAAAACTGTCACTTTTGGTTATTTTTATAACACATCCTCCTGTAACAGCTGTGTGGAAAAAAAAGTACCCGAAATGTGATGGGCCTTAAGCCAGGTGGAATGGATGACTTTGGCAATTACCTGGTTTTTCATGAATAGCTGCTTAGGTGGGTTATATTTCCCCAGATTGGTAGAATTCAGTGTGACTCAATGTTTAGTGTTTCAGATAACAGTATTGTTTAAGATTGGTACATTTCCAAACCAGAAGGTAGCATTTTAGAAATCTGAGTCTTCTGTTCTGGGGACTCTGCAACCAGTCAGTCAACAGTTCATTAACAATAGTGATTTTGATTCACAAAATGTTCTTTAAAAAAGGTCCACATTTTCTACTACACGCAGTATCTTAGGTTTACTGATTAATATTAGACGCTGTATGTACTGAAAGGAAATATTATTTTGCCCAGTAAAAAATAATGATGATTGGATCTGATTTCAAGATCTTGGAGTTACTATGTAACTGTAAAATAACGTAAATGTAATGTTTTTGGTCTTTTTTTGGACTGGTGCAAGATTCAGTTATGGAGACCATAGCTCAAATACCTGGAAGACAGAACTGAGGACCAGTACTTCCAGAACCTATGTTGGACAAGTTTCTAGTACACCAAGGGTGTAAATCTGGACTCTAACTTTTTAATTAGACTAGGACGGTCTGTGTCTCTATACAGATTAGGATGTTATGCAAAAAATCTGCTGGTAAATGACACACTAAAGCACATTTTATGAGCCAATCTAACAGAAAATTACTTTAGCTCCCAGCAATCTAGTACTGTTAGGAGCGTACTACCCAACACACAAATGTAAATTAACACCAACTGAGAATGGTAGAAAAGGAAAAAGTAAGTGAGATGTATACCAGCCTTAGAATGACTGGCTAACATAAATCCAAAGAGATGAATAACATTGACCTACAAGGCCATACTAATGTTATCAAAACCAGACCTGAATAACAGAAAATTATTAAAATGATAAATCAATCAAAGTCAGGAGAATGGAGAATTCAGACTAGATACATATATGCCAATTTGGTTAACAGGAACCCAGTAAGAATGCACACACTTAGGGATCACAAAAGCTTGAAAGGGTGAAGAGAGTCTCCAGTGGTTCTTGGTTATATAGGCCTAAAATGACATCAATTAAGTGCGAATAGACATAATTAAGTGTCAGGCTGCTTGAAAATGTGCAAAGGTGCATACCAATTTTGTGCAGTTGAATTTTATGGCAGGACAGGAGGCTTCATATTTGCTTTAACCTTCTTTACTGAACCTCCCAGCAGCAAAGAAATAGTTAAACATATAGAGAAAAAATCAACCAATCAGGACACATATTAGAACATAACAGTCTGTCAGGCTCCTCCCAAATCCTCTTTCTTTGCTGCTTGCCTCCCAGGTGAGTCTATTCCAATTATAGCTCTCTAATATATATATTATTGACCTACCTTATATTGTTTTTTTCCATATATTTTTTTGACTCCTTTAATTAACTTTCCCTGTCTGTTTTATTTCCATGAGGTAATGGTGTGTTTATTTTCTCTGTGCACTTTACCACATAAACCTTTTCACAGGTCAGCCCACTGTTCAGTCCCTTCCCTGTGCTTTTTATTTATGACTGACTGGTTTTTTTGTAGTAAAACCTTAATAACCTTTTCCTTGGTGAAATTATCTTCAGACTGCGCCACTGCTGTGGCTGCGGTCCGTTTTAATCACGCCCGCGATCTATTTCCATACCGCCCGTTTTTTCGCGTCATTTGATTGACACGCAGTTTCCCGCCTTCCTCCTTCTATGCTGGCGGCCATCTTCTGTTCGGCGGTTAGTTTCCGTTCGCGCGCTTTTTCGGTGAACAGCTCTCTGCTACTGGATTGCAGCTCTGTTAGACGGTAAGTTTAATTGCCCCCTGCTGGTACATTTTGTTATTTCATCTGAATATTACACAGAACACTTGCTTATATTAGCCTATTTGTGTTTTTATTTGCAGATTGCTCTCAAACTATACTATACAGCTCTATGCCTATTAGAGGGTGACCCCCTCTTGCCTTTTTGATTTAAGGATGATCCCCTTGTGCCTCTTTATTGAGGGTGACCCCCTCGTGCCTTATCTCTCAGGGTGAACCCCTTATATATTTTATTGATTTGCACAGGTTACCCCTGTCATTATTATATTGACAGTTTAACTGTCAATATAATAATTGTGGATGAACCCCACTTGGTCCCCTTAAAGGTGACTGCATATTATCTGGGTGAACCCCAATAAGACAGCCCCTGCTTTTACTTGTTTTGTGTAAAGTTTGTTAATATATATAATTTAAAAAAAAAGAATTTATATAAAAGTTGTTTAAAATACCTTTTGGTATACTGATTCTGTGGTGAACCCACTACTATTTTACTGGTCACCATGTCGGACCAACCAGAACCTGCAATGTCAGCAGAATTAAAAGCCTGGCTTCAAGCTGCAATTGCAGACTCTATCCCCAAAGCCTTGGCAGCATTTCATGACCAGACAGCCACTACTGCCACCATCTCGCAATTGTCAGACTCTGATGATTCCAGGGTCTCTGACCATGACGAAGCCCCACGTAAACGCCCGTGGAAGGGTAACAGTGCTTCTGCTGGCAAAGGCAAAGCCCCAGCAAAGACAGCTAAATTGACCTCAGAATCTGACCTCTTAAAGGACTCAACCTCTGGCTATCACCTACGAGTGATAGACGAATACAATGCGTATCCAGAGGAGGATCTCCCAGGTGACCCTTCCCCTTCTGAATTTGTTACAGAGACTTTCCTCCTACCCCAAACCCAGTCCTTTCAGGACACTGACCCTATGTCCACTACTAATTTAGACAATACTAAGGATGATATCCTACTGGATACCAATGGTTGTCCTCTATTTGACCCACGCTGCATCAGACACCCTCGTTCAGCGGAATGGACACCCCCTGATCACATTGCAAAATATTGCAGATTATGGCTTCGTAAACCCTTAGAAAAGGAGATTAGGGCCAAATTAAGAGCAGAATGTCCACGGCCTATGATCCCTGATAAGGTGGCTGTCACCCCTGAACTTGACCCACTCCTGGTCACTTTTTCTAACTAAGACGGGTAAAGATCCCCGCAAGGGAATCGAAGTTGGCTTAAAAGCCACCCAGGACAAGCTGATGGATATAGCAGGCCCACTTATCCAGATTTTTATAATTGCTGATGAGACGCTAGCAGGAGGCAATTTTGACGCACACATGGTGCGTGAATGGGCACAAAGAGCGTTATGCCTGTTAGGCAACGCCAATGTAGCTATTTCCGTTGAACGGCGTAAAGCCGTGTTATATAAAATTGATGCCAAATTGGCAGAACTAGGCACCAAAGAACTTGGTCCAGAGGCTAATGGACTATTATTCGGGGACAGGTTCATGCGAGACCTGAGTAAACACGTATCCGTGTTTACCTCCCTTAACAAGGCACAATGGAACCTTCGCAGGGTGTTCAGACCCCAGCGTTTTTCCGGGCGAGCTGGTCGCTATAGGGGCCGAACGACTGGCAGAGCTGCCTTCACAGGCTACAGGCCTCAACCAGCAGACTCATGGAATTCGGGCAATACCCGTTTCTACCACAAGCAGTTCTTTCCCTCTAGACGTTCCATCAGAGGACGTGGATATGCTTCCCTCCGGGGCCGCACTGCTTCAGGTAATCGACTTTCCTTATTCTCAAGTTCCTATTGCAGGTCGGCTAACCCTTTTTTTCCAACAGTGGTCTCTATTAACTCAGGATCCATGGATCCTTCAAACTGTATCTGGTTTCCATATAGATTTTGCAAACGACCCTCTACAAGAGTTCCCCCCTCCACCTCTGCACATGTCTCAAGAGGACAATGCGACTTTGGAGGCCGCGCTAAACGACCTTGTCGCCAAGGGCGCTATAGAACGTTCTCGGTCCCCTCACAGATTCATAAGCAACATATTTCTGGTCCGAAAACAGTTAGGGGACTTTCGACCAGTTATCAACCTGAAAGACCTAAACACTTTTATTGTTTACCAACATTTCAAAATGGAGGGTATCCACCTCCTTCGAGACCTACTCTGTGAGGGAGACTGGTTCTCCCGTTTAGACTTGACAGATGCTTACATCGCTGTTTCCTACAGTTCAGATGGCATCAAGACTTATGGCAGATCACATGCCTTCCCTTCGGACTCTGTTCCGCACCCTGGTGTTTCACCAAGCTGATGAAACCGGTCATGGCCTCGCTACGCTCCCAAGGGATTCGCTCCATCATATATCTGGACGATATCCTCCTTATGGCTCGGGACCCAGGCACTCTACGCCTCCATACAGACATGACCACAGCTCTGTTACAAAACTTGGGGTTCGTGATCAATGTCCAAAAATCCATCCTCACCCCATCTCAGGTGGTTCAATTCCTGGGATTCCAAATACATTCCGTTTTGGCTATCCTACAACTCCCTTCAGTAAAGATCAAGAACATCAAAAAAAACATCAGAAAAAGTCTAGCCTCTTCGACTATCTGCCTTCGCGACTTAGCTCGCATAATCGGACTACTCTCCGCCTCAATTCAGGCGATCTTCCCAGCTCCTTTACATTACCGAGCAATGCAACGTCTGAAGACTCGCTCGTTACGTCACTCTGCATCTTACGATCAACAGATCTCCTTGACAGACGAAGTCCGACTCGAATTGAACTGGTGGCTACACCATATGGAAGCATGGAATGGGAGAGCGATCTATGGATCACAGCCAGATTACATCCTAGAATCAGATGCCAGTCTTCTAGGCTGGGGTGCATCATGCGCAAATCTCTCTACCGCAGGTCCTTGGTCCCCATCAGAACGGGCATTGCACATCAATTGCCTCGAGTTGATTGCCGGGTCCTTTGCAATTCGCAGTTTCGCAAAGGACTCCTACAATTGTTCCCTAGTACGGAGAATGGACAACATCTCAGCTGTTCAATACGTGAATCGTTTAGCAGGATCCCGTTCCAAAATGCTCTCAGACCTCACAAAAGAACTATACCAATTTTGTCTGGACAGGAACATCTCCCTGCGAGCGGAGTATCTACCGGGTTCCGACAACTTAGTCGCAGATTGGTTCTCTCAACACTGGAGAGACTCCAGCGACTGGCAATTGGACCCACACGTTTTTTACCGTCTCCATCTTCTTCGGGGTCCATTCAATATCGACCTATTTGCATCTCGTTTTAACCGACAGACGGACACGTTTTTCAGTTGGTTGCCGGATTCGACCTCTCTGGCAGTAGACGCCTTCCTTCAATCTTGGCCAATGACCGGCGCTTATGCCTTCCCTCCGTTCTCCATGATCCTTCGCACTCTCCATCATCTCAGGACTCAGGGGGCCACAATAACACTGCTGACCCCTTTGTGGCATACCCAGCCATGGTTCCCAAATCTCTTGGAGATGTCGGTGAATTATCCACTACTGCTACCTGCCACGCACGATCTTCTCAAAGATCCCGCAGGCAATTTTCACCCTCTTACGTTGCAGGGTCATCTCCAGCTAGTGGCCTGGACTATTTCAGGGGATCCTGGAATGCCGCAGGACTTTCGGAGACTGCTAGAGCACTCTTATGGGACTCATGGGCCCCCGGGACTAGACGCTCTTACCTCTCAGCCTGGCGAGTTTGGCATCGCTGGTGCTTGGAAAGGTGTATTGATCCCGTTTCAGCTTCTTTGATTAACGTCATGAACTTTCTGTCCTCTCTTTTTGATCAAGGTAAATCCTACAGATCCATTAATGTGTTTCGTTCAGCAATTTCGGCGGCTCATGGCCCCATTGATAATACAGCAATAGGTAAACACCCCTCCATCTGTAAACTGTTGCATGGCATTCGTCTTGCTCGACCTCCTGTCCCAAAATATTCTCATTTTTGGGATGTTGCTCTTGTTTTGTCCTTCCTAGAGACTTGGCCACCCAATGAAGCACTCTCTTTACGACAACTGTCGGCCAAATTAGCTTTTCTCCTCTGCTTGGTTTCTTTTAGGAGAGTCTCTGATATTCAGGCATTTGACTTTCACGCTATTGAATTCACACCCCAAGGTGTATGTTTCAACATTTCTCGCCGCACTAAAACTAATTCCTTAACGATTACTTACCTTTATTTTTCCGACAGACCATCGCTTTGCATTGCTCGTTGTGTCCAACACTACGTCGCCTCTACATCACCTCTACGTCCCCCTACGGGCCCCCTGTTTATCTCATATGTGCGACCACACAAGCCAGTGTCTAGTCCCATGCTTCTTTTTCTTTGGTTTCCACGCTTTAAAACAGCAAATATGAAGCCTCCTGTCTTGCCATAAAATTCGGGATTATTCTAGCTTTAGTGACTGAATAATCTAAATTTTATTAAAGACAGGAGGCGAATATTTTCCCACCCTATTGCTCTCCCACCCAGATTTTTTTCAGATCACATGTACTCTTAAAATTTTTTCTAGGTTTCTTGTGAGACTTTATATTTATCTGACTGTTTTTCTTGTTTGCTCTGTTTAGGTGCTTATCAATCTGCCTGGTTCTGATTATTTTAAAATTTGCAATAGTTATACTTGTAATATCCAGGGGGTAGATCTGTAAATGTAGATATCTTGCGGACACCCAGTCCAAGTGACCATACTTTCACGATCTTTCTCTGTCTTTTAGTGTGAAGTTTCTCTACATGAGCCACGAAGACTACGTTCCTTTAGTCTCTAGTATCGGCTGCGTTCTGGTTTACATGGTTGATGGATTACTCAAGTTTACATGGTTGACTACACTTATGATCGGCTGCATCAGAAAGAGGATTTGGGAGGAGCCTGACAGACTGTTATGTTCTAATATGTGTCCTGATTGGTTGATTTTTTCTCTATATGTTTAACTATTTCTTTGCTGCTGGGAGGTTCAGTAAAGAAGGTTAAAGCAAATATTCGCCTCCTGTCTTTAATAAAATTTAGATTATTCAGTCACTAAAGCTAGAATAATCCTGAATTGACAAGAACTGGTGCAGCCATAACAGCAGCCCATACAGAATGAGAAGATGGAAAGGAAGCCACCATGATAGCAGTATGGGACATGACATGCCACTACGGGTTCAAAGGGTAGGTGGATGGAATTAGGTGGATGGGATAAGGATGGAATAGGGAGAAATGTAAAACCGATTCACAGTTTTTAATGTGACACAGGTGCTTGCAGAGTTATCCACCAAATTACCGTCTACCCACCAAATATTCAGGAACTGACCAGAAATGGTAGGCTGAAATAGCTATATGACAAAAAAATCATACCATACCACTAGTCCTACCCTATCCCTAACCCTATTTCTAACCCTTAACGCTACCCTAACCCTACCTCTAACTTAACCTTAACCCTACCCTGACCCTACACTTCCAAAGTCCCGAATTTCGGAATGCCGAACCGAACCGAATATTTTTCCCAGGCACATCCCTATTTAATATCAAAATAGCACAAAACCAGATATAAATACACTCTTGGGACACTAGTAAACTAGGAACCGCAACAGGGCACTGAAACACTGGCTAAATGTGCTTTCATATGTTTGGGGGCATGAT